AGTAGCCAGTAATGTGTTGCTACGGAAAGCACCAGGTACTTCTTGTCACTTTTGCACAGTTCAGAGCAGAGCTCAAATAACTGGAATCTTTCTAGGCTATGTATTTTTCGACTTTGTCCAGGATGTCTCCATTGATCACCCTACAACGGCTCGTGCTCTGTCTCGACCTTGACAAGCTCCATTTATGGCTGTAAGTAGTTTCTGGCAGCTCAGTTCACTTGGTAGAATCGATCGTTTTCGTTTTAGTTATTTTTCAACTACAATTGCTCAGCTCGTGGGGCGATGAATTCTACATAGGGTTGAACGGCATTGAACTTTATGATCGACGGCATGAGCGAATCAAAGTCAGGGCACATAGTAAGTTTTGAACACATTCACAGCTACAGCAATGTACGCCGTACGCTAAGGAATCCTCGTGGGGGGTCGCTGGGGAGCACTTCGTATTGGATCTGAAAAAATTCTGAAACTGATTTTTCGTGTCTCACGCCTGTTGTCCACATCGTTGGAAGTTCACCATAGTTTGGAGTGGGTCATAATTGGCCTCAAAAAATGTTTCATTCCGGTGGAAATAAAAGGAAATTTTTCCGGTGAAACCTGCTGACTTCCGCAGTTATTCTCGGTCAAGATGTGATAAAATCCCCTCTCCCCCTCCTGTGTGACGGCATTTTTTTCGGGGAAAACCAGAATTCTCGTATTTTCTGCAAACGAGGAATAGAAAGTCGCGAAAATACAGTAGGATGGGAAAGGCGGTGGCAGCAGAGGAGAAGGTTTGCTCGGGGAGGGGTCGTATTTTGCATAAATTTACCTCAACACAGGAAGTGCCTTGTCCTAGGGAGCTTGCTTATAGGCTTTCTCTGGAAGGCGCCACGCTATTCCATTTTTCGATTCGGGTGGTTATTTGGAAGAGTATTGAGCCTTAGTTTAGTGTTTTGCCCTCCCAGACATGCAATTGTAGGGGAAAAAAGAAAGTGAAATGTGTTGAAGGAAACCTCCCATGAGGATGCAAGCCACCCGAGCTACGCCTTTCGCCACTGCACCATCTCTGCCATTCTGACCAGTGCAACAAAACAGTCTACCATAATTGTCAGCTGAACTTTTCCGTTCAGATCTCGCTGCTTTCCCTGAGAGCGTCAATATTCTTCCGGCAGTAGAAGGTGATCCTAGGACGAGTTTGAACCTTATCAACGGCTGCAACGATACGGATAGGTCAATCAGGACAACTGCTCCCTCTTTTGGCACTATGAATGAGCCTAAGATTTCAGGGCGGAGCAGATGTGGTTGACACCAATGTTGCCGAATCGCTGTGCTCGGGTGTTTTTCGTGTTTGATGTGCCAATTGCCGTTTCTACATTCGTCATTTATAACTACCGTAAGACGCCAGCCCGAGGAGTCCGGCATATCTCGGTGAGTCGTGTTAAATGAGTGAAATGAAGTGGGCTCGCTGGCTAATAGAAAGGGTGTAGTTCTAGTATGAGGTCAATGGCGAAAGGGTGCTGCACCATTCCTGCCTTGTGCTGGGCAAAGACATGACTATAGTCTTGTTCGCTGCGGTTGCTGGGGCGTGTCAGGAGGGTTGGTTTGGCGCCAGCCCGTTTTCGACCAATTGTTGTCGATTGCCCTTTTCAACAATCGGTGGAGAATAGGCTGGCGCCGTGCCAAACCCATCCCACCTGACACGCCCTAGCATTCGCAGCGAATGGGATACAAATGCCAAGAAACGGCAATATCTCACCACAAGGGCAGCCGCCACGTTCGACTAAACAAAAAAGTAACACCCTTCCCATTCCCGGGATATGGAGTGTATCTGGTGCTTATTTTTCTCCGTCTCTCTAGAATATCCTTTTTTCCAGGTGTCTGTCGACGATCTGATTGTCTATTCTGGTGACGTTCCAGCAAGTACAGCTGAGAAGACCGGCATTCTTGAAATCAATTTTCAAGAGTAGCGAGACTAGCAGTGATTCGCCTTTTGGTTTATATTCTTGAAATCTAAGAGAAATGAGAGTTAGATAATAAATGCTACTGGTACTTGTGAGTGTGATACTAATAAGCCATGCCAAAAACTTGTCGGCTAAATGCTAGCAAGATCAAGCCGTATGCGACCCGTTAGTGCAATAGCGCTGTAGGCGTTCGACTCTACCTGGGACGAGCTTTTAGTTCAGAGTTAATACAGTTCTGTAACACTGAAGTCAATCGGGGCGTTTCAATTTTCGTAACAGCCCATTTTCCATCGATGGTTGAGACTTCGGGCCTACACTGAGGGGAAAGGGGCTAGCGCCGTGACAAAGGGCACTCTACATGTGCGCTCCATTTCGTAGAGCGTTCACTATTTGAGAGCGATGGAAGTAATCAAAAAAGAAAGAGCTAAGTAAAGTGAAAATGAGCACGAATTGTCGACGTGCATCAATCCCATGGACCACACTCTCTTTCCCAGTAACGCGATTCCTCCCAAACCAGGATGATAGTCATGGGGATTTCCAGTAAGGGTAAGGGGTCGTATTTTGCAAAAAGCTTCCCCAACGCCAGAACGTGCTTCGATGTCCTGTTGATGGTAATTCACCTATCCGCGATATACGGGTTTCATGGTCGGTTGGAGTGGCGATTGAGATTTGGTCTCAGGGCTACGGTAGCAGTGTCATTTGTCACTGAGCAACCCCCCTCTCTCATGTCGATTACTACACGCCACAAGATCTACGTCCCTTACCGGTGAGGAAATTGGTCCTTATGTTGTTTACTCCCTTCTGCCCACCTAAATGTTCTACACGCCCCCTCCCTACTTGTATTCTACCTCTTCCGGTAGGACCCT